CTACGGAATACCACAAACCTTTATCAATCTCATTCAACAACTATATGAAGACGCCACATGCCGAGTAATTCACAATGGGAAGCTCAGTGATGCTTTTGAAGTGAAGACAGGAGTGAAACAAGGCTGCCGCCTACTATCACCCATGATATTCCTGATTGTAGTGGACTGGATCATGCAACAAACAGTGAGGAGCGAGAAGAGGGGGATACGTTGGACTGTGGAAAAGAACCTAGAAGATTTAAATTTCGCCGATGATGATCTATGTCTAATGTCACACAAACCTGAAGATCTACAGGCGAAAACTAACAAGTTGACAGAAGAGGCAGGGCAGAGCAGGGTAGCGAAAACGGGACTTCAAGTGAACGTAGAGAAGACAGAGATGATGATACTTAACCAACAACAAACTCCAATCACCATCAAGGGGAGAAACTTAAAGGAAGTAGCCTCGTTCACCTATCTAGGCAGCACGGTCTCAACCACAGGTGGCACAGACGAGGACGTCAAATTCAGGATCGGAAAAGCAAGACAGGTGTTCTTTAGCCTGAAACCAGTGTGGAGATCTTCTGCACTCAGCATGTGGAACAAGATCCGGATTTTCAACACCAACGTCAAATCAGTGCTTCTGTATGGCTCAGAGACTTGGCGCGTTACGAAAGGGATTTCCAACAAACTACAGACATACATCAACAACTGCCTACGCTGGCTCGTTACTGAAGCTCAGGTGGCCAGAAAGAATAAGCACCAAGGAACTCTGGCCGGCCAACGAACCAACCAAGAACCTATTGCTCAACAAATATGCAGAAGGAAGTGGAGGTGGATTGGGTATACACTGAGGAGGCCGACTGGGGACATCACGCGTCAGGCTCTCGAGTGGAACCCAGATGGGAAGCGACGAGTTGGGCGTCTCATCTGAGAGTGACATGGAGGAGATCGTGCGAGGATGAAATGAGAGCTTCTGTGCTGTCGTGGAGCCAGGTTCAAAAGTTTGCAGAGAAGAGAGTGCACTGGACACTTGCTACTGAAGCTCTATGTTCCATTAGGAACCCAAGGGACAAATAATAATAATAAAGGGTTTTCCTTGAACTTATGGCAACCTTCTACTCGCTGCTATGATACAACAAGAAATTGTTTTTTTTTTCACTCTGAAACTCAGAAAAACCAATTATTTTTGAAATCTCAGTTCTGTGAAGCAAATCAATTGCCACATCTCTAAATTTATGGAATGTGTTATTCGCATATATATATATATATATATATATATATATATATATATATATATATATATATATATATATATATATATATATATATAGTCTTGTGGCCATAGTTTTTCTACATGCATCTAGGCGTAAACAGACACATGCTCGAATCAGTGTGTGTTCGCTGTTCAGACGAATGCTTCGGAAGGAGCAACTATCCTCCACCGACCGTCTGTAGCGACGACTGGAAGCAATGTGGTCTGTGTCTACTGTTGAGTTAAGGTTGGTGGACGCTACGTCAAAAAATGTTTCCTTATGTTTTAAGTTCGTCCTGCCCAGAAAAAGATGGTTGTCTGAGCCTATTAGTAGCAAGGGATCGCCGTTATCTGTCCTTTCTGCCGTCATCTCAAGAGCTCCACCTAAGGACTTTTCTGCCTGTTTTCATGTACCTACTTCTGTATTGAGATCACCACCACCAGAAACCACATATGGCCGTTGGGCTTCCAATTGGAAGCTGGACACTTTGGGATAGATCTCATTGTTTAATTCATCCGAACTGCCATCAGTTGGTTTGTAAGGAGAGAATTTAACGAGACAAGGCCGAGTCTCGCTAATCTGTTTTAGTCTTCAATGCACTGTTCAGTTGAACACTTTGTTGGCATCTGTCATCCAGGATTGAGTCAAGTAGGGCAGTTTTGTCTTTGCACTTCATGCAATACCTACACCTTCGAGGTCGTAATAATTAGACATCGAATGTCCACAAACTGGAAAGGTAAAGTCTGCGGATTCACCATTTTGGATGAATGAAAGTGAGTGTGTGGATGTTCCACAAAAACAGCACACCTATGGATCGTGGTGCTACAGTTTTGGCTTTCGAAGCTTGTCTGATTTGATGGAGGGTGCGGAAATGGAAGGCTTTAATGTGTAGTTTGGAGTGGAGTTTCAAGGGACAAGGGATGTTGCTGTGTAAACTCAGGTAGTTATCACGAGCTGCAAAGTAAGAAAAAACTAAAGGTGATGTGAAATTATTGAGCTGAAGACGTGAAGGAAGATAAGAGCTCAACGATGTGGACAGTGGACAGTGATGTGAAGGAACTTGACTGCTGACAGAATTGTTGGGGTGGTAGACATTTCCATGCTGCCCACACCATGGGACACTCGTTCTTCTTTAGTTAAGTGGAAAAAGGGTTGGTGCATGAGCTCAAAGCCCACTGAACATCTGATAAGACCGTCCACGCACGACCTTCTTAAAAGTTTGATTTAATTTTTGTGTGCACATCCAACTGTGAAACTATATCACCGGCACCGGTATGTCTTGGAGTAAAGAGAAGTACTATTTTTAGGACCAGCTAGGTGCAAAATCAGGAAACTAGGTGCAACCAATCGATCGCCAGCGAAATACAAAATAAACTTTACCGTCACTCAAACAATGAATTTCCAAACAGATGCTCCATAAGAAGCAGTGTTTGTGAGTACACCTACGCCATCGATAGATGATTGCAGTGTGGTTTGTTTAAGTCCAAACTTGATTGGCAGGTGGAGGGCACCAGGTAGTACAATAATGATGCTGTCTGAATTTGGTGCTGGATAGAAATAGGTTGTGGTCCGTGCAAATCTGCGACCAACCATTTCCTACTGGGCACCTAAATGACTCTCCTTTCAACCTGTACACCCCCACGCGTGAATTCAAGCCTTCAGCTCACTGCGATATCTGTCTAGTGCAATTGGTAAAAGTTACTCAATATTAGAATTTGTCCCTAACTGAATCCAGGCTGTGGTCAGTTGAAGCGTTGGGAGATGTGACAAAGAGATGTCACTTTCCTGGCCAGTTACTTCTCACTCTAGTCAGAATTTCCAGCATAATAGCACACAGATAACTGTTAGTCGGGATCCAATTGCATAGTGCAACTTCCACACTAAAACCTACTGATACTATAAATGCCGTATGTAAGATGCCATTGCTTCCTTAGATAATGATATACTGAACATACTTTTCGAGATGATATGATGAATCCAGTCAAAACACTTCACTGTGATTTTGTACTCGGGTATCAGAGATATTGCGTAATGTATCAATGATGAGGCTTTTCGGAATCTTAACCAAATCTGTATTTCCCCGAAACTGTATTAAAGTTCGAACTTTGAATTTTGCCAGCTTAAAAGTTGTGTGGTTTTGGCAAAGTTGAGTCGAATATCCAGCTGAAGATAAGCTTTATGAAAGGAGCTGTTTAGTGGACCAAAGCAGTAATAACAAGCTAGAGTTTTTAACAGTGGCGGGGATTTAAGTGGAATGGCAATTAGGTTCCGAGTAACGATGAGGAAAACATCACAGCGTAGTTCATACCACAAATGATAAATGTTCTAGAAATTTAGTCTATAGAATTTATACCGTCTTTAAAAAGTGAATTACACATAACATTTTCTAGGTAGATGTGGAAACGTCTTCTAAGAGTGCGTTTTGGAAGATTATATTACGATTTCATTCTTTTCGGTGTAGAATATATGATGAAAGTTAATCCTATGGTGATGTACATTAGAAGTAGTTTTGAATATATTCCTTCGGGATCATAACCTCTTCTGTATTCAGTTAAATGTGTTCATATTTTCAGTAGGTAATTTTAACTTCAGAGGCGCTTGTAAATAATGTAGCGGTTGTTAACGGCAAACGGCAAACTCGAAATTCATTTTTATAATAGACAGAAACTTCTACTACTTTCTAGTGACTAGCTCAGTCATGTAGATATTGTGGAAAAAGGTCCCCCCAAAACACGTATAGCTGACCTATGCAATTATCAAAAGCATAACTTCAACTTTTTCCAAGTTGTATAAAGTTTTGTGGAATCGAGGACTCGCATTTCATCCTATTCGGGACTCAGCTGGATGTACCTGCCTCACAGTGAGTGCTGTTCCCACTTAGACTGGAACCTAGAACTCATCACTTTTCTACGAAGCGAAAACTTCAGACAATGTCGAGGCATCCGTACAGGATCCTATGCGCTATTAGTGGCCGATAAATTCGGCTCAATCAACGGTGGGAAATTACGAGGTATGATGCGTGTACGGTTATGTTGTAGACTTTAATCAAGGAAATTACACGGAATCTACTCAGGCAAATTGGTTGGTTTTCTCATCCAGTGTACCTTTAACCTACTTTACCATTCTGAATAATAACTATCTAGGCATTTTTGAACACAGTCATTTCTCAGCATAGTCATTTGATACCAATATGGTGAATAGAATTCGGGTACGTGAACCAGGTGATAGCAGTAAAGTCGACGATATCGCTAAGTCTATATCATCTCAGTGGTGAATCAATACATTACTGTTGCATAGCAACTCGATTGTGGAATAAAATGTTTATATTCTTAACCAATCGTTAAACTAAGGGCACAGTTAAAAATTGAAATTAAGATGGATTGTAAGGATGATGATAGTGATAAAAGTGCAAGCAAAGATGACATTTACATTTATCCCAGCTAATAGAAACGAAATTGTCACGACAATAATTTATTCCTCTCTACACCCTACACATATACACAATCCCCTCGCACATCCACACACTGACCATTGACTTCGCAAAATTTTGTTGTTGTTATTATCGCTTTTACGGTCTTTCTTCACCTGAATTTGATACATACAGTTTTCTGTTGCTTTTACAACTGCCATTACCAGTTTTTCTCTTATTTTTGCTCGATTTTGTCGTACAGTAAGTGTAATAAAACAATTTTCCGACAGTTTTACGACTGACCTGCCTTCAATCGATATCTTGAACCATGGTCCTCCTAATTCTCAGTTGCAAAATATTGAAGAAAGTCAGCGACGTCGCCTTACCCAGTTAATGCGTCATGATCGTCAGGTTGATCATCTTAGACAACAAAGAGCCAGTGAGGCTGTTGAACGACGTATGCGAGCAGAAGCCAGGGAGCGCAAATTCCAGCTTGTCAGAGTTCAAAAATATTTTGACGAGTTTGTCCGTGAATTTCGTCTCAAAAAGCTGGGCAAGATTAATGCTGACGAACAGGTAGGTATCAAAAGCAATGTTTCTGCATACAGTTGAATCATTTGGGTGGTTAAACTTACTTGAACTATGCTGCTATCATGCTGGATATCGTAAAAATTACTTCATTTTATGTTACTAAGGTTTCACACTTGTCTGATTTTAAACTAGTAACAGATACTTGGAAAACCTCACTAAACATAGCTTGAATATACAAAAGGGTATATCGATGTGACCTAATGATATATGAGATCTATTACTAACGAAGTTAATAGATTTCTGTAGCTGCTTTTTACCTAAGTATTGCTAAGTGAAGAAAAAACATAAAGGGAAGAATGGTTATTCGATTTGATGATTTTGAGAGGTGAAAGCTGATACAAGTACATCCAGTTGGTGAGTCCCGAATCGGACGAAACGCGTCTCCTGGATTTTGCTGCCAGCCGCCACTATGCAAGTAATATTAGCAATATGATTTAGTCTGAAGAAATATATCTTTTTCATTTACTTAAAGCAATAAATTCTTACCACCATTGTTACATATTTTTAATGGTAGACTGTCGGTTCCTGTACAGCTCTCAAAAAAAACTACTGTGAACATTCGAGGGCTATTGTTGTTAAACCTTGGACCATGGAAATAGCGCCCAAGTAGAGGCGTTAGGCCATTTGAATTATCCTTGTGAATGGTTGAGCCTCTGTTTTGAAGATTTACCAGTACCATGTTTGTTTTGACAATATAATCAATGAACATAACCTTTTTCAAGAAATTTTTAGGCACAGAGGAATAGATGTTAACACTGTTTTACACTTTCAGCTGCTGCTTTGAGTTATTGGGAAGACTTTCAGTCATATAAGTTAATTTCTTGCCTCATACTCTAGGAATTCGGATTAGGTTTTGCTTATGAAATGGGTTTATTAAGGCTTTTTAAACCCGTTCACTTCCACCAGCTTTCGGTCATAGTTTACTAACTGCAGTTCCCGGCGTTTTTAAAACAAAAAATATTAGGGTCGGAATCGCTCTTTTGCTGGAATAAAGGTATGGCTACTTCTCTGAATAAAGATTTCCCCGGTATATAGTATTTGTTAGTGTATAAATATGTCAGAACAAAATTTAGTGGTCAGACAAAATATTAGTAAGAGCTAAAAAAAATCATTAACCAATCGTTTGAACTGTTCTTTAAACTAGGTTTTTCGATAGCGTCACAGATATTGGCAGTAAGAAACAATCCGTGAACGGCTAACTAAACTAGTGCAGAATATGCACTCTGTCGTAGTTACACTCGGTCTTCTATGTTTTTCTAAACTTTGGTTGCTTGCTTTTCGTATTATTTTGTTGCATGTATTGATGACTCTTACTATGCTTTTTGTCATTTGATCTTAATGAACTTCTGTGTCTTCATCCACGTTAACCCCTTCAATTAGCTTATTATTATGTTTGAGTTATTTGTCGTAGTGCCTCCGATACATCACTGTCAAACTAACTGTGTAAACCTAATTCTAGCGAAGATGAACAATGGACCTGGGTTTACTGCATAACCGTTGAAGTTACCGAGGTTCTCATCGAGATACATAACGGTAAAATAAATGAAAAATAAGTTGAGACAAAAGTCATTCAAACGCATGAAACTAAAAGGGAAGAGATCAACACAAATATGGAAACTCTATGTATCAATTAACTTAAAAGCATAATTTAAAGATATTTGCATCACTGAGATGAAAAAATCGATAAACACAGCAACTTTGCTCATGTTTAAGTAATAGGCAATGAAGCGAACCTATTGTGTAAGAGCTAACGATGTAACCTGTATGCCCAGATCTCGAAGGGTGGAGTGAGAATCGAATCTACAGCCCTACGCGGCTTAGATAAACAGTCAGACTTGATGAATTTATGCCTTATTTTGGCCCAGCCACTTTCAACTCTAATGCATCTTAATACTACTTCAACCAACACAGCGTGTATCACATGTTGCAGCCACATGAGCTGGTGATTTTTAGCAACTCCATCAGATTCCACTTTTTTGATCAAAGTTCTTCGTTTGACTTCTAAGTTACTAACGTTATGCTACCTTAAAAGATGACTTATGTTAAGAAGGTTACTTTTGTTGGTCTCCCGTAGTCTTTCTGTTTTGTTAACTTTTAGTGGTCACTTTCCTCAGTCATATGAGAGAATATAGCGAACTGATGTGCAGTACAACAGACCCTTAATATGCAGTCGAATATCTCGCCAGTGCTATAGGTGGGATAGTTCAGTCAAGTTTAATCGAGTCGTTTATATCTGTACCGATAGTTCACGAGACACTGACCTATCAGAACCAATCCCGACTTCCTTAGTGAAGTGGTCAGTGCACAAACCCCTTATTTTGAACGAGGTATTAACCCTGATGAGTCCTGAGGCAATAGTTGGCATTTGGGTAGTGAGAAAAGCATGCTGAGCCTTCTCAAACTGTTACCCATGGTGTCTAGAAAACTGAATCTTAATGGCATCATCTACGTACTCCAGGTTGACTAAGAAGTTTTCCGCGATATAGTCAATCACTGTGAAGTCAATAATAGAGAGGGAGACTTTCTTAAGAACGTCTATGACAAAATCAAATAAGAATGGAGAGAGTGGACACTTAAAAACACTACTTGACATCCACAACTCATGTCCACAGGTGTTCAAAGAAAAAGCATCTGACCAGTTAATTAGCCGGTAATCTGGCCGGTTAGAGGCGCCTCTTGATTGGGACCGCACTTTTTACATAAAGACACTTTCAACGTATTGGTGGAAGAAGCTGTCAAAAGTTAATTTCGAGTATATTATAGTAAACTGGTTGTTTCGAGTATTTGTCTACATGCCATAGTGTTACCTTAAACGAACAGCTCTTGAAGTTTCACAAATGTATTCTGAAAATGCAGTGCAATGCAATCTCAGAAAAACTGGAACCTTGTACTTTTGTATCATAGTTGGAATAATTTTGACGGCTTTTTGAAATTCATGTTTTATATATTGAAATATTTTTGTGTTTAAAAGTGCAGTTATAAAGTTGTTCTGTTGCGAAAGTTAACTAGCCACGGTGTGGGGAATTTCGTTATCAATGAACTACACTAGTACCTAAGTGAACTGGAAGATGATGTTAAAAGTTGTTTTTGTTTTTAATCATCCATCATTGAAAGAACCCTACATGTCTCATGATTTTCTTCATTCGAAATTTTTGTTACAGATATTTCGACGGTTTTTTCAACAATTTATACAACGTCAGAAAGAATATCTTTGTGAAATACGAAAACTGGAACGTGAAGAGCAATTGGAGAAAAGAGAAGAAAAACGCAAGATCATGGAAACGCTAGAACATGAGTACTGATTCATTTAACTTTAGTGTGATTAAGCCTAATAAATAATTATAGTTTCAAAAATGAACTGGTATATTTAGGTTATTTTGAGATATTGTTTATTGCATTGGAATTTCAGAAATTATACTGTGACCATTAATGTAAGTATGGAATTTGGGGACTATGGTGAAATGTAATTCCATCTATATTAGACTAGTCCATTTTATTTAGTATGCAATGATATAGTATTATTTACTAGATGACGTTTTCAGTACGATTTGTTGCTCATAGTCATATCAAAGTGATCATACAGCTTTCTGATCTAGTTTTTGTAGTTTTATTGTTTTTTCAAAAAGTTGTGTGATCACCTTGATATAACTAGGCAGTAAGTTCTGCTTAAAACGTCGTCTAGTAAATAATACTGTATCACTGTGTGACCAGTTATTCAATTAACCACTGTGTAACTGTAGCTGAGTGCAGCTCAATATCTATTACACGAAAACATACATGGTTATTCAGTTGTGTTGTGTTGTTGTACTCTGCTTCGCATTGACTAATCTCCTGTTAAGCCTGATTACTTATTGGTTTTCATTACTATTTTTCATTTTTAAGTGCTGAAAGCATCAAATTATTTGGAATAAAACATAATTATACATCAAAACTAAGATGGGTAGGGTGAACTGTACCAAACGGTTTGTTTACTCACTTGGCAGAATAACGAGGTAAAATTAATTAGAAGCTTTCTTATTGTATAAAAGGCATTATTGGCAGTTATTTGCAGTGAACCCTATCCGTTGTGATTACTCTCACTTAGTTAAGTGCGTACTGTTAGGAATTCGCAATTATCTTTGTTTTAACCTTGTTCAAACCGAATATTAATTTTTTAAATCACTTTTATTTTACCATGGAAAATGTAGATATCGCATTCGCTTGGAATTGTTGAACGAAAACATAAAAAAGGAACGAGAAGAGCATTCACTACGCATGCGTGAGGAGCAAAAGGTGTGTCACATATTGTAGGACTTGATATACAGATGAAACAAAATACCTTTAGAGCATTTACTTTCCCAGTGTTGGTCTTGATTGTTTTTACTATGATAGTGTACACAGTTATTTTATGCGATGAAGGCTATTACGGAGTCAGTTACAAAACGAGGTATTATTTGTCACTAAACCTAGTGTACGAAAGAAAGTAAAAGCGACGAAATAAATTAGGAATTTATTTCATAAACTGCAAATAGTGTTTTGGAATAATTTTACTGTTATTTAGCGTAGTTCTGCATGAAACACTACAGGAAGCGATGTAGCTGATGGAGTGGGCGAAAGTTAACGCTGAAGTTTTACTCGACCTTGATCAGTGAAATTCAACAGCTGATGGATAAAGTTTTATTATCATTACTTTTGTGAAATATTTGTCTATATGATCTAGTATAGGCGGTAATCCTCAGAGAAGTTTTTTAAGTTGATTAGGGATGCTGACAAGAGGATGATGGTTAGTCAGACCATCACCAAAAGGGATGGGTTCGTGATAATCTGTCGTGACAGGCGGCTGAACTGTTGGGCGAAGCTTATTTGAGCACAGTTCAGGTGGCCTACAACTACACTTCAGTTACCTAGTATCCAGACTGAACCTAAACAAGAAATAAATGTCAGTCTACCATCTCTTCTCGGAGTTGAGAAGGCTGTTTTAGACCTGGAACAACGACAAACTGTAGGAACTGACAGTTTAGCACTAGAAGTTTTAAGGATACAAGTAGGAAATTTTGGAGTAGAGTATCAAAGGTATGGGAGTTCACGTCAGATCGATCTAGGCGGATGGCCATTTCAGTTTAAAAGAAAAGAGGTAAGTTCTCATGATAACCAGTGTGACATTTGCTATATTCATAGACCTGAGTGAAGGAGATGTCCTACGTTGTCCACTGAAATGGGTTGTGACTGTGTCTGCCTTGAAGGAGTACTGAGCAAGTGTGTAACGCTAATCGAAGTTGTCAAAGTCAACTAACGCAGTTGTGTAAAGGTTTATGGGGAGCTGTCATCTATATAGACAGCAACCAGTGCTATCCGCTAGAGACATTCACTGTTCCTGTTTAACTTCGTTATAGATGTAATAATAGACTTCAGGTACCCACGAATTCACAGGAATATACCTATTATCAGAAGGGTATTTTGTTGATTTACAATACGAAGATGACACTGTCCTGTTAGGCGGTCAGCAAAATGCAGTGTTTCATGAACACATTGAGCGGAAATCTGAATACGTTTGGCATGCGTATAATACTTGTCGAATATAAGTTGGTAAGGATAGTCCGAAGCTACTCTTAGTTTAAGGATAAGTAAGGAAGTGACAAAATTCGTTGACCACTTCACCTACTTAAATTACATCAACTGGAACAAACTATTAGCTAACGAAATCTCAGTTCGGATGCCAAAGCCGGTGTAGAAGATATGAAGAGATCATGTGTTTTGACTTCAGTGGTCTTCGGGTGTTGTAGAATCGCGATGTTTGGATAAGGAAGGCAAGCCAGTATATAAATTTGTAAACCTTTGGTGACTGAAGTAGTTGTTTTTCAAATCCGAAGGCACTGGCTACCTCTATGTAGTGTTATCGGGAATATTAAGGAGTTGAGAAAAGCTAAGGTTGTCCAGACGACGATATAGTATCAGTCCATTGAGCCTCGGATGTCGATCTGAGCCAAGTGGGGTGTAGGGTCCCCTGTCTTATGTCTTACAATCAATTGAAATTAACGTTGCTGAAGTGGTCGAAAATCAACCATAATGGCACATTCATATTCACTTTAACATCTTAAACACTTATCTCTCATCTATTCTTTCTCACCTGTTCCATTATTTTTTGTCTACCCTGATACCTACTTTTCCAAACGCTTATTCTTTGCATACTGTTGTGGCAGCTTTGAGCTCTACATTGGTGGTTGTAGGTGTTAAGGGAAGTTCATGTTTATTTTATGTGCTATGTATAAAAAAACACCAAAATAATGTGCATCAAGAAATGTGAACACTTATTACATTTGACAACATATTTATGAATTGTCTTTGAATTAATATTTTTATTTATAGATACATAACCCTCGAGTTATAGATACTTTTCTCATTGGTTACTAAACGGTTGATAAATGTGATTTTTATCGTGGATCGAATAAAATCGGATTGTTTTGAACACGATTAAGAATGAAGTTTCTGATAATCAGTCTGTTTCGATTTAACGCTGTGCGTAAGTGATAGGACCGAAGAGGTTCCATGTTTCATTCACTTACCTGATTTAGCACACAGCATTATTTACTTCAGAAGGTTTGGAACAACAGTTATTGCCCATACTTATTTCAAACGTTATCCATGATTTTTAACGCGTGGCTTCTTTAATCCAGTTATTCAGTTCACATGGTGATAAGGCTTTCTTACTCCTAGTAGTAGAGATTGGTTGAATGACTAGAATTTCGGTGATTTATTGTTTCTATCTGACTGTATTGTTGTTTGTTTTTCCAGCGTATTATATGACTGGATGAAGAGCGCTGACCAAGGAAATTATAATTAGGTTCGCACCACTGGATTGGAATAATTGTTTTCAGTATTTCACAACTATTGAAAACGAACCCATCAGCAATACTGATGCTGATACAATTTTTTCACGTGGCATCAAACGTGATAATATTGGGTTCACTTGAATAGGGCTTATCCGAGTTATCTGTAAAATCTGATGTCGCTAGGTTTTTAAAAATTCACCTCATTTAAATGTTTCATGTGTTTTAAAACATTTAGATACTGAAGAAAAGTAAACGGGACCTACGTCGTCGACTTGAATTAAATTTACGTCAGACGCAAGAAGCATTTCTAAACAATAAAGATAGTGCATATTTCAGAGAACAAGAAGCAAAAAAGCTTTTGATGAACAATGACAACTTAATGTAATACAGAAGAAGAATACATTAAGCCTTATGGTTTTCTCTGCATTGTCTAACCATCGATGCATTGTGTGATATATTGTTGTGAAGTCACGTGGCGTTGTACAGTTTTCTTTTACGTAAATTTCTAATTTCAGCTTTCCGGCTGTGTGTACATTTAATTGTTCCTCATAATATATTCTTGATTATTGCATTGCCATCAATCGTGTTTTTATTTAGTAAAACATTCGGTTGCTGGCATGTTGACTGTACAATAGTTTTGTTATCAACACCTGTTGAAATCACTTAGTGGGTAAGTGAAGGAGAGGGGGAATGGTTCAAAGAAGCTTTTTATAGTTGACTGTTCAAGACAACCTGACTATTTTTAGTATTTTCGATGAATGTTTACCATAATGAGGAATTTTAGGACTGTCTCAGACTGTTTATGGCAAACAGGCAGTGTGTATAAACAAAAATCGGTTGATGTACTCCCTCGAGATTAACATGTTTCTATCGAATGCAGATGTTACTGTAGCCTTATTCACAGCTGTCTTTTGTGCGCCTACCGTAGTGATTTTCATGGAACTTCAGTCCCGCTTTGATAACTTAATAAGAGATCTAACAGCACTCTTTTATGTAAAAAAATAACCTCATTTATCTTCTACATTGAAGCTTATTCTGTACCTGTTACCATATATTATTGACCAGTCCTAGGGAAAAATGAAGTCAGAATGAGCTTTGTATTTACTTCAATAAAAGGAATAGAATTTTCATTTTTGAGTTTACTTTGGGGGGTTTCTGAGTTCCACAGCACAAACTAATTGGATAGCTTATAAGCATCCAGACCGTAGCTGTTACGAATCTCCTGGAAGAAGTTGAGCTCTGAGTCTGATTGAATCATAAGAATATATTTTAATATAGTCCTAGCGTGTTTAGAAAACAAGATTTTTCTGGACATTTCACAGCGCAAGCCGCAGCTTCAGTAGAATGTGCCGATTTTTATTATCATACAGGCAAATTGAATAGCTCTTTTTGTGTTTGAGATTCATTGTAGGAACAATGACTGTACCAATTTTTAGCACAAGAAAATTTGATGTGCTTGAAATCTATAAACAACGATATACGAACGTATACAAAAGTGATATAACGCTGAAGCGTTAATATTTAGTTAACCTGAATTTACGTTGTTGGCGGGTCACTGTTTTCATCCTCGTTAGGCAAAAGTTACACAAGTAGCTACCGTTAGTCTATCTTGCGACATTCACACAATTGTACTAACGCATTAAAATGCTTGAGAAATAAAAAATCATGAAGATTACACAGGAAATGGCTTAGGAATCTGTCCTGTCCAGTGCTACCCCATTTTTTGTGGTTGATATGATATAGACCTTGTTGGAATCAGTCAATCTCTTGGGAACCGGATTGGACAACAATCCCATGCTGAATCATGACTTTTTTCGATATTGATTTCTCTAGTGAGAGATCATAACCTATAAGGTCAAAAAGAGCAGATGTGAGAACAAATGCGTGCGAATCGCATTGGATTACTGTCGAAGTATATCAGCGTCAGATTTAACATTACAGCTTAACGCTGTACGCTGCCACGTCTCGTTAAAGACAGACTAATTGCAAAAATGAATGCAATCAGAATTCGTAGACAATCAAAGAAGTAAGTAAGACGTAATTATTTCTGACAAACAGTGTAGGGATAATGTGTAGTGCTGTTGCGTCACTCAGCAGTATCTTGTGGTGTATCCAGTCGTCAACCTTGGCTATATGGAGTATATGGGACTCGTCGTCTACATTTTCCCACACCATTCAGATCAATACGCAGAAGCAATCAATAGTGTCTTGTAATAACCAATTTTACCTTCAGCTGTTTAGCATTTTTTCCATACTAAAACCAAAATAACGTGTAACCCATGAACTAGCAATATGAGATTCAGATAGTAGTCGGGAGAATCGGTGTACGTATCCGCTTTACTTCAGAAGTGGCAACTGGTATATACGTTACAAAATACTAGCTCCAGAAAAACTGGTCAGTGCAACGCAACGATTAAACCTGGAAATAAGAAACATTCACATACTGATGCAAATTTCAAAATGGTCAAGAGCACTTCACCCTATTTACCGTGATAATCATGAAGTCGAATTAGTATAATTATAAACAAAAGTAGTGAAGTCGAATAATAATGCTACTTCGCAACACTTGCCTTCTGAAACTCCCCTTTCTCCACTAAATGGTGCAGGGACTTCTCACCTGTCTACTTGAAAGTTTCTCCACTTCCATGTCTGTGACGAGTTATCAGTGAATTCGACAGGAGGCTGGGAATGTTTACCACAACGGTGTCAGAGGGAAAAGTGAAATCAAACCTGCTATTGTGCTCCAGGTTCCCTGATATTTGGCAACATTGTCACAGGAGGATTTCGACTGTTCAGGAATCGAACAATCAACAACTGTGACGGCGTACAATCCGATTCACACACACAAGCTGACACTCCAGTCAATCACACCAGAAGTCTTCTACCATGGTCCTTGAATACATGTCATATTAGTTTACCAGACACTGTTACTTTGAAACAATTAGTCCCTTCTATGAATTTGGATAATGTAATTAGAAGACGTAGATTATCTGAAAAATGTGATGTATTTGCGCTATACATTTCGAACAATCTGATCACACATTTACTTGTTAAGACATTATATATGAAAACTGGAAGGGACTAATTGTTTCAAATTCTTGAAAAGAAGGCTCCCGCCACAAACTATCAAAAGGTTAAATGAACTTGTTAGCCTCAAGTGTAAAATAGCATCTGAAAAGGTAAAGTTGGAGTTTTACAAATCTTGTGTTTCAAGTCACACTTTTCCCAGACATTTTTGTAAAACCTACGTTTCACAAAATTGCAACCAAATGTCTCAAACCTCTTTCGACTCGCTAAATCTCATATTGATAGTTGCAGTGAGAAGTTAAATGGATTAGTCGAACTTCATATTCATTCTTCACGTGTGCTATCTGATATTTCGTTAATTTGTCATATCAAGCTTGTCAATTTTTGTAGCTCTGTCATCATTAAATCGAAGGAGAAGACAAAACAGAAGCTGTCAAAATCTTGTACTAACGAATCTCATATTATCTTATTCCAAATCAATCCAGATAAATATGTGACTAATGTATCCTCTATTCAACTTTCGACGTGTGAGAAGGAAGCGCTTTCTCTTGGATTCAGTTTTTCGGGTCCTCACATAAAAGTTTCGGATTTGTCTATTGATACCCAATTTGAAAGTTTTTATGATCAGTTATTCCTCCTTGTTCCAGCCTCCTCAGATATTCGGAGTTGCTTGAAGGCTAAGCTAGTGGATATTGCCCATCAGTTCCATACTTCAGGCCCAAGACAGCGAAGTATCCTAACTTCGCAACATTTCAAAGCCCTAAAAGGACTTAGAAATAGATCTGATGTAATCATTCTCGAACCCGATAAAGGGTCAGGTGTGGTTGTGATGGGCAAATGTGATTACAAAAACAAGACAATGTCTATCCTTAGCGATGAAAGTAAATATATGGCTGATGTTCCATCAGATGACCTTAGAAAATTAGACTGCAAAGTAACATATAGTCTGGTAAAACTCTTGAATATGTGTTATCAGCAAGGAAGAATTCGCTTCCCTCAAACTAGTGGGGTCTGAGCTACCTAATCTGTATGGATTGCTTAAAATCCATAAGACAAACAATCATTTACGTCCTATACTCTCCATGTTCCGTTCACTTACACATAAAGTGGCGAAATGGTTAGCAAAAACTTTAATTCCTATTCGAAATGAATTCTGTAAGTTTTTAAAAAGCGGAATACACCCATTTCCGACGAAAAAAATTTCTTCTTCCCTGAAACCACGTCTTGTCTTTTCCTATGTAAGTTTTCCTTAAAAGATACTCTTGGACTTGTTGATTATGTTAGTGATATTAATATCAAAGATAAGAGGTTGTATTCATTTGATGTCAACTCCTTATTTACTAATGTACCCCTAATTAAAATCATTGGCGTTCTTTGTGACCATATATCTTCCAGTCATCCTTCTTTCCCTATCCCCTCAACGTGTTTGAGAGAGCTGTTGTTATTGTGTACTGATAAAGTTCATTTCACATTTGAAGGTGAACGTTTTCGACAAATAGATGGTGTGGCTATGAGAAGTCCCTTAGGACCATTGCTAGCTGATATTTACATGTCACACATTGAGTGCTTGACCGGTGATCTCTTTATAAAAGATATGTGACAAGCATGAAGATGCAACATGTTTGTTAGAAAGACTTAACATCGTACAAAACAGCGCAAATACGTCACATTTTCCAGATAATCCATGTCTTCTAATCACATAATTCAGATCCTGTTACATTCTCTTTCTGAATAGATAGACTCATGAAATTCACTTTTTTCATAGGTTGTAACCAATGAAGCCTAATAATTATTATCATTGAGCATATCAAAAATTTTTTGTTTTTGGCCATGCAGCTATGTCTGTAAGCATGGATGAACTCTATTTAGGTAACCATATCTTTTTGGAATGAAAGTACGGTGCTACGTAGTGATGTTTAGCCACTTGTTTGCTGTAGAACATTTAGCTTAGTGGAGTTGTTGAGTCATTGGTGAATTCGGAGCTCCAGTTGAGTCAGCGTAAGATAAACCGCAGTGCGTTTCAATTCTCCTTGTTGTAGTTCCTGTGGGGAATGCTTTTCTTGTATTTTTCCAGTGGTAAGTTACCCAGAACCATATCAAATCATCCAACAAGGATCTTGTGGTCGTTGCCTAAAAATGCATAAACAACATGCAGGGTCATATTTGTTCTACAGAGCCTAGTGGGTTCCCCTATCTTCTCGAATCACTCTGCAACTTCGAATGCGCCCAATAGTTCTGTGTAACACTGGTGTACGAAGGGGGTCACACACAGTATCAAATATATGAAAATTAACACACATTTTTGCCACACTAACCATCGATGCGGAAAACCGAATGCCACAGCTAGCTTACTTTTGT